TAAATGTTTGAAAATTATTATACACTTTTATAAATTACTCATTGACATTAAAAGATCAAACACCTTGAAGCACATTCAAACACAATCTCAGTGGCATAATAAGCAATATTATTTCACTTATTATATCATACAAAAACTTATGCGATAATTTCTCTTCGATATCGGCAGAGTTCCTCCATTTACTTGTTGACAGATTTGGTTTAGTATTAGCTAGCAAAGGCCAAAGAAAGTTGGTAAAGTTCGGWTAAGCAGCAGAGCTGTACATTTCTAGCAAATTCATATATAAGAGAATCACTGTATTCAAATAAGCAGTTCAGGGATTAGAATATTGACTCAYACCTTATTATTGTTAGTCATAACCTCAAAGTTGTGAAATATCTATCTTGGAACTTATGAATATTGTCACTAACCTCAATATCACTCAATATAAGTTATCACTATTTAGATTGTTTGAATTTGATGTTTTTCCAAATCTTTCATTAAACACTGTCAAATTCGCAATAAARAATGCCAAAATGCTGCTAAGCGGGGTGAGAAAAAATTGATGTACTTCATGCAAATGATGCAAAGCTKCCCCAAGTTTAAGTTTGATAAAGATTTATCCCTTTCAAATTATTTTTGTGAGTCCTCCATAAAAAAAATTTGTATTGAGTCGATATATAATTAAAGCTACTGATATTTAAAAGCTTAAAATAATTTCATTGTCAGTCTTGTCAGTTTTAAATATTTTAAATTTATTTTAAATATAATAAAGTACAACTCCCCGTTACAAGTTGACATCAGTGAAACCATTTCCATTAATTATTGCATTAACAGTAATCTGTACATATAAGAAAATTATATAGGAATATCCATTTCATAGCGTTATTCACCTCTCTTCACAAACATCCCAACTTTCATTTCTCAAAAATCAAATGTATAAATAATATGGTTTTGACAAACCAGATGGTCCAAATATCTCTCTCATCCTCTTTTATATTAAAATTTAGTTTGATTTCCTTTTTATTTAAAGGTTCAAACATATTTTCATTGGCTTTATTTTCATCTGCTTCATATGTTATTTTGTTTCATCAGGTTAACATTATGAGTTCTAAAAAGGGTACCCGGCATATTAAAAATTAGTATCTAAATCTTATTTCATTAAGATCAAATTATATCCGATATTATTATGAAATGCAATTCAGTTGTCAGTAACATATAGCACTTCGTCACTTTAATGTCTGTTGTCCCAAGCAGAGTCGGGCAACCATAGTTACATATATCAGGGGCGGATCCAGAAAAAGTTTTTTGGGCGGAAATAAACATTTACTTGAAACATTAAGATTAATATATTCAATATAGGAGTCTTTATACAGTTTAATATGGTAAAATTTCAAATTGACCTTCTAGTATTAAATCATACTAAATTGAAAAAAAAAAACATTAAAAATCGTAGACCTGGGGTTGACATACAAGCATGTACTTTATTGCAATGTATAATACTGCAGTCAGTTTGGGTATTTTATAGAAAATTTTTACGAAAAAAACAATGTGGGACAAGTTTTGAAAATCTCTCGAAAATTCTTCTCCATTGACTTTAATRTCATAATGCYTGTGCAGCAACGCCAGGCCGTTCAATCTATCTACAGGCATGTTCTTGGGAAAAGCGCATTTTTAAATTTTCGTCGATTCTTTTTCGGCCRCAGATTCTTGGTTTTCCTCGTCTTCGATTTCGGAACGTTTCGAGCAGCGATATATAATATATATGATATAATATATGATAGATAATATTTGATGTAATTGCCAGATCGATCGATTCTTTCTGAAGAATCTCGCTGAATGAATGAGTCAGATAAAGATGTCGCATAGAAGTAGGTTGTATCGTTGTTTTTCCCGCTGTTTCCCTATTTTTCCAGTTATTAATTTTTCTATRTTGGAAAACTTGGAGGATAAATCGCGGGGAATGTATSAATTGAACATATCTTAGATGGAACTGAATCCTGCATCTATTTCAAGTTACCTATCAAGTTACGTCGCTTTAAATTTAGCACTTACAGTTACGAATCTGATTAGATTTACTAACTAATTAAATCAATATGCATACGTTGCAACACTTTTTAACTTCAGTAGTAGCTTAGCATTATTAATACAATAAATACTAATAAATGTGGGRATAGTCGTTAATTTTGTTTCTGAAATAAAATGGCGAGTTTTTGGATCATATTTCTGTTACTTCATATTTTCAAAGTAAATTAGGTACTAATAAGCCATTTAGTCCTTATTTTAATTTCCCCCATTTCTCCCCGCTGAATCTTTATGAAAGTGACAGATTTTAATCCCTTCCATATGAGGTTCATTGTAATTCAAGAAAAACAATTGTCGTTCTTTGAATAGCTCTATGAGTCGGAAGTTTCAATATATTATAGAAATTATAATTATTAATATATTATATGAAAATATACTTTTCTAACCAGAATTTGCGTTACAAAAGTCATTATCTCACCGTTACTAGATTTCCCACAATTTTTCAAATATGATTAGAAAGTTCAGATTAAATTAATCTAAAAACAAGTATATACGATAGAATGAAATTTAATTTGAAAAAGTCCTCTTGAGTATGGAAAAATGGTCTTGTGGTCTGATAACAATTTCAAATATAAACATGTTATATATAAATATATAAAGTATCACCAACTTTCGTCGTTGTTGTTACTCGTTATTCGACAAAAAAAAATTGCAGCTGTACTACATTTTCCTTACTAWACCGGTTTATCATTTGATTGCTTCTTTCTGATTCTATTTACTAAAAATTTACTCAGTAAACAAAACTCAGAAGAGACCACCACAAATCACCTTTCTAAAATTTATATATATTTTTTTTTTGTGGATAGAGAAGTGAGAAGATACGATAAGAAGCAGATATGAGATGCATTTTTCATTTGGAGATTTTTAGGGTTAGGCATGGAGCTATCTTGACTAAACTTGGACTGCTACTTTACACTTCCATTATCTAAACTTTAGTTGTGAGAATATTAATCTCAATATCCAACATTATAAACATTAATTTGGAGGAAATGACAATTTTTAACTTATTTTTTATAAAGCTACACACTCCCGAAAACGAAATATGAAAACATTTTTATGAACCACAACTATATAACTCACGTCAGTGTACTCTTTTGAAAGCATAACTTTGAAGTATATATATAATTTATTTAAAATACTTAGATGCCGTAGTAGATATTTTAGAAATAACTATTGAGACATGCGAATGAATATTCATTCCATTTTAACTAAGCACAAATATTATATATTATATTTTACAGCACCGTTACTCATAAAGAATGCAATGTAAATGCATACGTTTGCTGAATCATTTCGTTCGTTTTTTGCATAAGTACTAATTAATTACTTACTGCCATTTGTTCATGTTTAAGCAATCGTTAATACTACTTGCATACATACATACATAAGTGTAGTAGTAAAGCACAGTGGACCGAAATATAGTAAATTACCGCTTTTTGACTACTAACAATTTTCTCTCTTACTTTGTTTCTCTCATTGACGGCACTTAGGCCAACAAGTCGCAGCTCCGGCACAGGCACACAAAATCAAAATGGCGGCGTCTCATTACCGGCCGGTATTGCGGACGACCAATCGAAGGATTTCGATTTTGAAAAGACCGAAATGAAATACGATTCGACGGGCATGTTCCACTGGAGTCCGGCTAAGAATTTAGAAGACTGCATATTGGTGGGCATCATTACATACATAGACTAGAAAAATTATGATCACAAATATTTCCAAATTTCATTTAATTTATTTCTAAAAAAAATATCAATAGGATCGCAATCAAGCGGCAATGACTGTTCTAAATGGTCACGTTGTCGTATGCCTTTTTGCCGATCCAGATTCGCCGCTAATCGGACTGCGCAACTTGGTAATGCCATTGCGCGCCTCAAATTTTCACTATCACGAACTGAAGCATGTGGTGATAGTTGGTTCGGTGGACTATATACGACGCGAATGGAAGATGTTGCAGAATTTGCCAAAGATATCGGTGTTGAACGGTTCGCCGCTGAGTCGTGCCGATTTGCGTGCCGTGAACGTGAATCTGTGCGATATGTGTTGTATTCTGTCGGCGAAAGTTCCTAGCAACGACGATCCGACGCTGGCCGATAAGGAGGCCATTTTAGCGTCGCTCAACATCAAGGCAATGACCTTTGACGATACGATCGGTGTACTGAGTCAACGTGGGCCCGAATTCGATAATCTGAGCGCGACCGCTGGCAGCCCAATTGTGCTGCAACGGCGCGGCTCCGTTTACGGCGCGAATGTGCCCATGATAACAGGTAAACTGCATCGCACTAAGTTGGCTGTGTTTGCGATTAAACGACCAATTCACACACGACACATTCATCCAACCGCTGGCGTTGGCACAAAGTTGGCTCTTGTAAACCGTTATTGGTTTTATATAAAATTTGTTTTGGCACATTTCTTTCTTTATATTTATGTGTATTTGTAGCGTTGTTGTTGTTATGGATTTAAACAATTTTTTATAAAAAAAATTTAAGCACATTGCTATGTTGTGTTATGTAAGCCAATTTTGTGCCAATTCTACGCCCGAGTCATGAATGTATTAGTCGTTGTACTCCCTCGTCTTACTCTTAAATGCGCTCGCCGCTAGTTAAAGGTCAAAGCGTTAAACTTTGTTTTGGTTGTTGTTTCAAGAACTGGTCAACGATAGTAACGTGCAGTTTCTCGATCAAGACGATGACGATGATCCGGATACGGAGCTATATCTGACGCAGCCGTTCGCCTGCGGTACCGCCTTCGCCGTTAGTGTTCTCGACTCGCTGATGTCGACGGTAATTGAACGTAACCTTTACAGTAGCCCCCATTACTTAAAAAAAATATTTCTAATTAACTTACTCTCTCTTCGTGCCTATTTCGAGCACGCGACTACTATTAAGACCACATAAATTCTTAAACTTTCTCATGTTACTTATATACGCTCTTTATTTATCGCCTTTAGACGTACTTTAATCAAAACGCTTTAACGTTAATCCGCTCACTTATCACCGGCGGTGCTACACCAGAGCTGGAACTCATACTCGCCGAAGGTGCTGGTCTACGTGGCGGTTACAGCACTGTGGATAGTCTTAGCAATCGTGACAGGTGCGTGCTATTATTTGTTTTGCCTGTAGTCATTCAACCTTAATATTAACAATTTACTCGCGCAGATGTCGTGTTGGCCAAATATCTCTGTATGACGGTCCCTTGGCCCAATTCGGCGAATGTGGAAAATATGGCGATCTATTTGTAGCAGCGCTCAAATCGTACGGCATGCTTTGCATTGGCCTCTACCGATTTCGGGATACCAGTTCGAGTTGTGATGCGAGTAGCAAACGTTATGTTATAACGAACCCACCCGATGATTTTTCACTACTGCCAACAGATCAGGTAAGTCCAAAAAGAATACAGCAGAAAAGTTAGAGTCCATTTAAAAATAAAGAGCGGTTAAGCGCTCATCGAAAACATCAGACTTGAAAATAATGGCAAGTGAAACTCTTCGATCTATAAACAAAGTTTAATAAAGAGGCCCAATTACTTTCTAACCCCTTGATTGAATATCTTTAGTCGTAAATCTTCTTTTATTCCATTGATGAAGCCTAGTCTGCGCAAACTTTTGAGGCTCAGTTGGAATTTGTTACGTACTTAATGTGTGTTATATTTGTGTTATCATCGAGATTCGCTTTGTGAAACTTCAAATAGCTAGTAAAATTCAATTGAAGTCAGGAAGAAATGAAGAATAAAAGGATTAGAGTGCTAAACGCTATAAAAAAGTGTTCCACTGCTGGAATGACTCTGGCTTTCTCTGTGAATTAGGTTAGTTTAGGTTATACTGGTCGGCTTTCACGCCATAAATAGACCTACTGGCCCTTGAAGGTTCCGTTTAGTTTGTGGTGAAAAATTTGTCACACAGAACGTGATCGTGTTTTGCGAACTTTAAGGGCAACTAGTTAATTGAGCTCCGAAGGACTTAGCTATTTAAGGTGAGTTCTAGATACTGCTAGACGCAGCCATAGGAGATGTTTCAGCATCTCTCTCTTGCAAACTTCTCTGAACTTCCCGCCCCCCATGTGATGCCCGTAGGTTGTGAGCTGTCAAAAGATCATAAGCCATCCGGCAGTCCTTTCTTTTTTTTGTTCTTTTTCTGCTTTATTGATGCCAGTACTTCTTACTTTTCGCTGTTTAGCGCCAATTGGGAAATCCAAGAGTTCTTCTCCACCTTCTAACGGAGTGGAAGTTTTCGAATACTTTCAGAGCTGGAGTGTTTTCGTCGGACGACATGGCCTATTTATTATATTTTTCTATCCAATGTAGGATTTGCCGTCGCCAATGCGCAAAGGCCGCATATAGCAGGAAGGGAATAATGAGTGACTTATAGAGTTTGGTTTTTATTTGTCGAGAGAAGACTTTAATTCTTAATTGCCCACTCAGTTCGAAGTAGCATCTGTTAGCAAGAGTTATTCTGCATTTGATTGCGATGCTGACATTGCTGTTGGTGTTAATACTGGTTTCGAGATAGACAAATTTATCTACAACTTCGAGAAGAGTTTCATCTACGTTCGAAAAAAGGCAAAAAATTACCAAATGGAGGCCCAAAAATTTGTAGTTTTTGCAGAAACAAATCAAAACCTGGTTGGTCATAATGTAAACAACTATATACAGTAAAAATTTGATCGTGATCGGATCATTTGCCTCCGAGTAACCTCTTGAGCAAATTTGAAAAATGTAGTTTTGCGAAAAAATTACTTGGACTGAGTGGTTAAAATTTAAAAGCCAAAATTTTAGTGTGTATTTTATAAAAGTACAACCTGTTGAACTCCCACTAAACGCCTTCATTACTTTTTTTGCAGGTTTTCGTATTAATGCAATTCGATCCGGGCTTAGAGTATAAACCGGCCGCAGTACGTGCGCCACCTGGTGGTCGGGCTGCCAACACACAAGGCTCCGGGGTCGGTGGGGGTGGTTCAAACAAGGATGATAACTCTTGATTGTTACTGTGTAGCGCCTTAACTGATGGTCCTTACTCGTACATTTGAACGATGGAGCAAACGATCGGGTACAAAATAGCGCATTTCTGGCAATACATAATCGGCAAAATATGGCAAAAAATACGAGCGGCAATGCGAAATGTATCGAACAAAAAGAATTAGCACAAGAAAAGCAATAAACAAAAGCAATTGGTGTAATGAACAAAAAATAAACCAATTTTAATGTCGCAAGTGGAACAAAATCTATAGGAATTTGTCAAAATTATATATGTAAAGAAATGCGTATACAATACATGGGTGACCTAGTAAATGCGCCATTTTGTACTTTTATATTTGCACAGACATTCGCCAATGCAAGCCTCATTTAAAGTAGATCACATGCGTATGTATGTATGTATATGGGGAGCGCCACAAAAAAAAAACATTTCAATTTTCAATTGGAAGCAAATGTCTTTGCAAATATAAAAATCAAACTCCAACTAATAAAATATACAAAAACAAACTGATTACTCGAATCAGTATGAGTAAAATCCATCGTTCAAATGGTAAAAAGATTGCTTCCCACACCATTCCGCAAAGCCCTCAACTACTTATTAATTTTCGAAAATTTATTAACCTTAATTTACTGTTTTCATTTAGGATATATGTATGATTGTAAGCAACTAAGTAATCATGTATGAAGAATTTTCTTGTATTTTTCGTTTGGTAATTTTTTTTTTCTATTATTTAAAAAATTTTTATAATTTAGCTTTAATACGACTTTGGTTAATTATTTATTGCACTCTGAAATTGAAAGACCTAGTCTTATGCTTAGCTTAGCTTGGAACTTAAATCAAATGACTTGTATATCATATATTTATAAAAATCTAAAATAGTTGCAGAACTCAAACCACATTCCGGTTACTAGTCGCAATATATATACATTATACTAAACATAAAAATATATATTTATATTTCTATACATTTTCATTTTCATAAAGTTAAATCTATCGATATTTTAAAGTTTTTTATTTAATTAACTTTGTTATAATTTGCCCTAGTAATATTAGGTTATAGTATGTGAGCATATGAAATCGTATCTATTAATTTTAAATGCACACTGAGGATTATTTTTTAAAGGTTTATTTGAAAAGCAGTAAACCAAGTTTTTAACTGTTCAATAGTTTGAAGGTTTATTACAATAATAAAAGGGAAATACTAAATATAATTTCTTTATTCAAATCATGTGCTTATAATTTTTTCAAAAATCTCCMTAAATGTAACAATAATAAAAAAAACATTGCCTTGGCATCTAATGTTTTAGTGAAGTCGCAAACCCTTTATGGTAATTAAACTAAAAGCAGTGAATAATAATGATTCTGAATATGAATTCTCTGCTAAAAGCACTATATGTATAATGTTTTAATATGTTTTTTAATTTAATAGTTTTTAAATTAATAACATTGAGTGCACATTTTTAAGAAAAATTATCTTCTGTGTGCATTAAACAACCTTTTCGTCTTGTAGTTTAGCTACGCAAATATTATATAATTTCAATATATTTCATAGCAGTATACTTGATGTTTATAAAATATAGTTTTATTTTAATTAAAATGTATATATTTTTAACATAAAATTTGAATTTAGAAATTTGTAAAAAAAGTTTTTTATTTTTTGCTGGCAAATTTTGTGTGTTTCTTTAATTTTTGATATACTGACTTTTATATAAAATATTATTATTTTCGTCATTTCAAGTTTCTGAGTTATAAAAAAAGGTTATTTACGTTGAAATTTGTTTCAAATTTGTGGATAAAATACATATTTGTTACTAAAAATATTATTGTTTTCATTCTTTAAAGTTTATGACTAAAAAAATGTTTTTTATCTTCTGTTATTATTCGTCACTTATAAATGCAAAATTTTGAAAAAATTAATTGTCATGAATCATTTTGTTTTAAATACATATTATTTTTCCAAAGTTATGAAATTTATATTAAATATTTTTTGTTAAATAAAGATTTTTTAATAAAGATTATTTTCCGAAATTATATACAATTTATTTAGATTATATATTTATTGTTGAAGAAATATTTTTTATATATTCATTTCATAATCTCAGTTTAAACAAAAAAGTTTATAATTAATTATTTTCGTATTTCATATTATTAATTTCTCTTTTAAATGTTTTTTGATTTTACGAAAATACCCATTAGTTAGTATTCATAAAATGGCTATTACCATACTTTACTCGAAAGTTCAGAAAATGAATTTTTTGTTCTCACAACTTTATTCTCAAATTAATCGGCACTCATTGTTCACTGCTAAGAAGTTATATTCAAAAATACGAGCAATAAATAGCATAACGCACATATTTCCCGCTCCTCACTCCCGTACAGTTCAAACAATAAGCACATTTGCACTCATTTCACTTTTTCACTTTGAAAAACTAAAAATCAAACAAACAACAACGCAAATTATAAGCAGCTTTGAACACCGCCTCACGGCCTCACGACCTTACGATTTCGTTGTAGTACAAGCACCGCCATAGCTCGTATCAAACAATTCAATAAATCATTAGCTTCACTCACAAAATGCATCTCTTATTGTAAACTCATTGTATTGGGCCGTCGGGGGAGGTATGTATGCAACGAACAGTATCGTTCTTTAATGAATTTCGTCTAAACAAACACACACTGTATATTTGTGTTTAGCATTTAATATACTATATAATAGCATATATACTATATAATAGCATATATCATTCATATTTCAATTTTCACTGATGTTTACGCATTTTTTCATGCCGACCTATATTACCACTTCATCGTTGCGCACCGCATTGGTGATGAAAAAGTTCGCTCATAACTCAGCACATGGTAAATGAGAAAGATAATAAAATAAAATAGAATTCTGCACATTTCATTTATCGATAATTTTACGCCTTTACGTTTGTACATTACATTTGTTTATCACAACAACTCTTCCGTTCGTTTCTGTTCACTTCAATAATCGTTTACCGTTAAGCGTTTATCGTCATTCTTGAGTTTCATAAGTTCATCCAAACGACGAAATATCGTTCAACAAGCAATTTTATGTAAAATCAAATGGTGTGACGTAAGCAACTGGGAACCATTAGTGAGGTTAGCTACACATTAAACAAAGGAATTAAGCGAAAGAGAAGAAAAAATTAGAAACAAAGAATTAACGAAGCAACAACAAAACTACAACTATACAACCTACTGAAAACTACAAGTCAAACAACAATCAACACCAAATTTAGTAGAGTAACGCTGTAAAAACTAAAATTACAAGTAAATTGCATAATAGATAAAGTTCAAAAAGCAAACTATATCGAGATTCAAGTTCATCTCAAAATTCGAGCAAACATAATGATTAAAAATGTAGTAGTGAAGAGTGTAGTATGAGTATAAGCCATGATGGCAGCAGGCGGTGGGTCTATGCTTTTGCGCAGAAAATGTAACTGATAAAAAGCGTAAGCTTGCAACACTGCTTTGCAATAAAGATTCTAAACAATTGTAAGTAATATACAATATAGATATGTTTATATGTACTAAAACACAAAAACAACAAAACACTTGTACTAGACAAAAAACTATAACTAAACGTACTTCAAAATATACTAACAAAGCAAAAAAATAACTAAAAAGGTCAAACTTACATATATACCTTATATATATGTTATCATTTGAGAAATAAAACTAAAATGAGTACAAACTTGAAGCTATAAACGCTATTTGCTGCTGCTATTGGAGCAGGTTTAGCGTATCGTCTTCACATACGAGTTTGTATATATTTCTTTCAAGAATTATATTTCTTAACAAATACACACACCCCGGTGAATGAACGTCTAGCCACAATCCGCATCAAAGCGAGGTTCTTCAACATATCGCTGATTTGCGCCCACGCCCCGACGGAAGAGAAGGACGATGTGACCAAAGATACCTTTTATGAGTGCTTGGAAAGCACTTATGAGAGCTGCCCCCGCCACGATGTCAAAATCGTGCTTGGCGACTTTAACGCCAGGGTGGGCAAAGAAGGTATCTTTGGCACTACGGTCGGCAAATTCAGCCTCCACGAAGAAACATCCCCAAATGGGTTGAGGCTGATCGACTTCGCCGGGGCCCGAAATATGGTTATCTGTAGTACTAGATTCCAGCATAAGAAGATTCATCAAGCTACCTGGCTGTCTCCGGATCGACAAACCACCAACCAGATCGATCATGTTGTGATAGACGGAAGACACGTCTCCAGTGTTTTAGATGTGCGTGCACCTGTCTCTTATACACATCTAGATGTGTATAAGAGACAGGCAATTGCCCGCCTGAAGAACAACAAAGCGGCGGGGGCCGATGGATTGCCGGCCGAGCTATTCAAACACGGCGGCGAAGAGCTGATAAGGAGCATGCATCAGCTTCTTTGTAAAATATGGTCGGACGAAAGCATGCCCAACGATTGGAATTTAAGTGTGCTCTGCCCCTGTCTCTTATACACATCTAGATGTGTATAAGAGACAGACGCTGGCTAGGTCATGTTGTCCGGATGGAGGAAAACGCTCCAGCTCTGAAAGTATTCGACGCAGTACCCGCCGGGGGAAGCAGAGGAAGAGGAAGACCTCCACTCCGTTGGAAGGACCAAGTGGAGAAGGACCTGGCTTCACTTGGAATATCTAATTGGCGCCACGTAGCGAAAAGAAGAAACGACTGGCGCGCTGTTGTTAACTCGGCTATAATCGCGTAAGCGGTGACTACGCCAATCAAGAAGAAGAACAAATACATATTTACTTGGGAAAAAACATTAGAAAATGCAGATGCTTTCTGTTCGGGGATATTTTTTATTAAAAAAAAAAATTTATTTTGAAAGAAAAACTGAATTTGAAACAAATTAGTATACATATGTTCTGCAAAATACGTACATATGAAAAAACAGGTATAAAAAAGGGCATCTCAAATACCAAACCGCAGCTTATATTCGGAAAGAAAATGTACAAAATGGAATGTTGTAATTAATAAATTTAAATTGAAGCATCAGCAAACTAACGGTGTCAAATTGTAGACGTTCCAAGATGATTCAGAAGTACATAAAACCGAGAAACCTTCTTCACTTTTGCTCACATATACCCAACTTCAAGCTGTACGTGCTGTCAATAGTGTCTCAAAAATTGTCCCAAGAATCAAATTTTTACTTTGAGTTACTATACATATACTTCGTCGGATCTAGTTAATCTGTTACAGCAATGACGATTGAATTACATTTTCTGATAAAATTTTCCTTGTAAAGGTTTTTGCAATAAGAGCACTACACACGTTTATTTAAAATTAATGAAATTCTTTATTCCTGTGAAAGTACATTGGATGCCATTATGAATGCAACCCGATTTCTTTTGCTTGGCCACCAAGGGCACGATTGCAGAAGTCCAGACGCTGAACCCAATTTCGAAATTCATACGAAGTTCAATAATTGTCGCTGGCTAGTTGGCATAGACCATAGACTTGATGTAGCTCCACAGGAATACCGAGGGGACCAA